ACTAACATTAATAAGAAAAAGAAAGGTTGGCCGGATCTGCATTCATTCATTTTGATGATAAAATTTCTTTTGATATTGGCAGTATAGTTTAATCGAAATTTATTCTATTTTTAATTGAATTCATTCGCTTCATTGATTCCAAAATTATTAAGTTCATTAATGTTGAGCATTTTCTAAAAAAAAAAAAAATCAGTTGCTTAATTTAGTAAACAATGAATAATTTTCGATTTAACATTTCATTGTTTTTTTGTACTACAAAATGATCACCACAAATAAAATGATAACTTTGAAGTCAATGGAAAATACTTTTTTGAAATATCACAGGAAAATTAAATTTAATATATTTAAATATATATAAAAAAAAAAATATGCATATTGTTATAGATCATGAAGTTTCGTAGGTCGAAACTTTACTATAATTATACAAATCTATGCCTTATACATTCCTAAAAAAAAAAAAAAGAAAAAGGGCAAAACCATCCCATTTAGGTAAATATAGCATAATGGTTTTTAACAGGATGGACTTAGGATAGATTCGAACCTGGGCTGGGCTGGGTTGGCATTTTAATACACGAATTTATAGCTTAAAGTCCAGGCTGGGTCGGGCTTCAAAATTTAAACTTATGCAGGTCTCTAGTCCCTAAGATCATTTCCTATCAAAATTGCCATGTTTGAATATCATTTTCGCTTTTTACAAATTAATTTGACATTTTTTTGATATAGATAAGTGATTAGATTTCTCTAAAGATAGCTTAAATAATAAGGACAGATTAAGGATCGCTAGACATCAATAGTTAAGCTCATAATTCGGAAGATCATGTTCAAAATTTTAGTAAAAGTTACAGAATATTTTAGAGGAAATAATGCAAGGTCTTATTAGCATTTGCTTTTTTTTTAAAACAAATAAATGTAATGATCTACTTGAATTTATTTTCAAATTTAATTTGTAAAAATATTCGGTTAATTAATAAGCGCATTATTAGTATTTTTGTAATTTGAGACATCTTTATTCTGATAAAATCAGCTTTTATCGATCAGGTAAGCGATATCATGTGATATATTTGAAAATCAGTTGAGATTTATATTAAATTAAAATTAAAAATTATGTCGGTGTTGCTATAGTATAGCGGTATAAAGCACTTGACCATTGTAATCTCGAATACTGGGTTCGAGTAAAACTAATACCAAAAAAAATAATAATAAAAAAAAAAAAAAAAAAAAAAAAAAAAAAAAATTTTTTTTAAAATTATATTTTTAAAGCATTAATAGCTTTTTAAATTTTAACGTTTTTCTATATCATGATTACGACATGATTTTTCAAAAAAAATAAGATCAAAGAATGTCGTTGTTGTGTTCTACTAACACGTCAAGTATTTTACTATAACTATATCACAGTCAGAAGTGCATATGATCTTACCCATTATTATACAAAAGAATATGACATCCCTGCATTAAAAAGCAATAATGTTTCCTGTTCTTCCATATTAATTACTTTAAAATACACTAATTTATAAATATCAGTTCTTATAAAAAATTTTTCTACTGTCTAGGTTTCAAACCCTTGTAATTTTAAATCCAATTTACAACTTTACTGGCAAATTTTCATAGAGATGTGAATTATTTTATCGCAAAGTTTTAAATCGTATAAAGATTTATTAATGCGAAATAAAAAATTAAAAGTGACTTCTTTTTATCCTTTTCTTACAAAAATTTTTGAATAGTTGCTATCTATAAAAAAAAGCTTTCAAGAGTAAATATTAGTGAAAGCTCGGCTAGAAATAAAAGTTTCCTTAAAGAAAAGATAAAAAGATTACAAATATTAAAAATGTACAATAAACAAATAAATTTAAAATAAAAAAGCGAAAATTTATGGACTTTCCAAACACAATTTTTGTCAAAGTTCATTCGAAACTGACAGGTGGTCAGATGTTTCAGATGTTTTTAATATGATGGAAACTGAGAATGAATTAAAGTATTATGATTGACTTATCCATAATTTCAAAAATTCTTCAGTCTGACGCTCATCCAAACATTTGTAAAATTTTATTGTGCCAAAAAGTAAACTACAATAATCTTTCATGTAACGCACCATAAGACCATATGGATCGATGTTACAGAATCTTCTGTGAAAATTCGCACAACCAAAACTCCCAGAGGATGAAGTTGATCGGTATATTTTAATGCTTACTCAGGATTTTTTTGAGTTTCGGGATTGATCCTATTACATTATTTCAATTACAGTGATGAGATGAAGCTTTTTTTTAAATAATTATATAATGGTGAAATCCACCTTGAGCACGCCTTATTTTTTTTTTCAACATTTGAATAACTGTTGACGAAGTAACTACTTTTCACAGGGATAGAACTTGAGGTTTTTCGTATGGAAAGTTTTCAGTTTCTCGTTGATAAGCAATAGAGGTAGATATGATAAAAAAGATGAACACATACATGATAAAAAAGGAACTAATTAAGACATGACATCATGCTACGAGATCGATTTCAATTAAAGATAATGGTAATTTTTATTTAAAGAGCAAGACCACTTTGTGAGATCGATAAAAATGAAGTTTTCTTTTAAGAATCATGACCAATTGCGAACTTCAACAAAGACAAGACCTCTCGATAGATCGATAAAATTGGATAGCTGCCTTCGAAGAACACGACATCTAGACCATATTTTTTTTTTTTCCAAGGATTACAGTAGTTTTTTCTTCCAAGAGTCACAGGATCGAATAGATTTTTTTCAAGATCATAACCTCTTGCAGCAGGTTCGAGATCAGTCGTATTCTTTCATAAGTTTCTTCTAAAATTTAAGAAAACGAAAGAGTTGTCATAAAAAAAAAAGAGTAAAGTAAACTAATGAGTCCCCGTGATGTATACACCTCGTTGAGCTGGTAAAAAATTTTTGTGTCCACTTTTAAATAAATATATTATAATCATCACATGGTCTTGATCTTGATTTTCGTGTTAAGCTTTACATATTCTGCTCCATTTGCCTAGCAAATAAAATTCATAAATAGAGAGTAACAAAATAGAGAGTAATATGTGCTACTGTATTTTTTGTGTCAAAGTCACTATGATCAATTTTATTTCAACGTTCCCTAACGCAAGTTATCAATTACATATACTGAAGTTGACTTTTCCCTCATTAGATTAAACTAGCTCATATTTTAGTTTTTCTATAGCTCTATTGAAAAAGGATAATAATTAAACCGAGTAACAAGAGCAAAAATAATAGTCATCATGCACCAATTCATTAATCCAAGCCGCTAAAACTATTGCCCTTCATAAAGAACAAGATACGTAATCCACGTAATTGAGTCTCTTCAATCAATCAAGGACGAGTCTTTCTTCAGATTAGCACCGTTCTTTTTAATAAAGTCCTATACAAAAAAATAATTATAAGTATTTTATTAAGTAAAGAGAGAGAAGGAACACGACCACCAAAATTCAAATTATATAAATTTTATGCTAGGCTTCTAAAAGGAGCCTACACTGAATCCAAATTACATACATTTTTATGCTAGACATTCAGTAGTAAAACTACTTTAAGTCAAGAAACCCTATATGTAATTTCACCAATGACTGGCCTACTATCTTATGGCAAAGAAGCCAATATGTAACTTCAATGACCGTGCCTATAGTGCAAGCTCAACCCTAACCTCTTAAGTACGTCGATTAATACGTTGGATGATATGAATAACTTCTTTCTTTTCGTCAGACCTTTCAGATCTGTAGAATAAGGAAAGAAATTTTTAGAGATGTTAGAGGAGAGCATCGAAAAGAGAGAAATTAATTAACAATAAAATAATAAACTGAGCTTTGACCTGAGATCTGTTGTGAAATATTTGATAATCGTCATACATGCCTCGTTAATTTCATCATCACCTACATTATCCGGGAAAGGGGACGAACATGATTAGAACGTTTTATATAAAAGAAACTGGGAATAGGAGGGTCACCCTTCAAACACAGCTATGCCATCACATCACCAACGAGGCCCCCCTCGTGATTTTAAATGAAAATAATTTCATTTTTGGGACACGATGTAGTCCTATCGTGCTTTGACGGCATGGATGGTATCCTTTCTCTTAACTAATACCAGTATGCCTTCCTTTGATTTCTCCATATCATATCCTAACACTGGTACCGTTACCACCACGGTTCATTTGCAAACATCACATGTTGGAATCTGGATTGTAAACATAACCTCGTAAGAACGCGTGATTACGAAGTTTTGACAAAGCATACTTGAGGAAATTCTTTTTAGAATGAGGTATGATATCTGGGATGTAAACTATACCTCGTTCTCAATATTTTACGCCAAAATATCGCCTAAGACACAATAAAGTTTAATCATTTTTTTTTGTATTTTAAGCACTTTGACCAATTAAATATTATCCTTTTTAAAAAAATGAAAAACAAAAAAATGGGAAATGTTTTAGTAAAAAAGAGAGAAGTACTGGAGAAAAATAAGGAGAAAAATAAAATAAAAAAAAGATATAAAAGCAAATTACTAAAACAATACCATCCTTGTCCTTCCTTACTGTTGGCGTCTAATAAAATTAAGAATAATAAGGTTCGTCACTAAAACATTTTTTTTTTAGTCTTGTCATATGAGATGTCGTTTGTAGTGGAAAAAAAAGAAGCTTGAAAATATTTTGGAACGCGTATTATAAAGGGCAAGATCATATGCACTTCCGAATGTGATATAATTATAGTAAAATACTTACGACGTGTTAGTAGGACACGGACATTCTTTGATTTTATTTTTGAAAAATCATGTCGTAATCGTTAACTTTCCTAAGTACGAAGTATTCATGATATAGAAAAACGTTCAAATTTAAAAGCTACTCACAACTATTCTATTTAATGCTTTAAAAATATAATTTTTAAAAAAATTTTTTTTTTTTTTTTTTTTTTATTATTATTTTTTTTGGTATTAGTTTTTTTACTCGAACCCAGTATTCGAGATTAGAATTGTCAAGTGCTTTATACCGCTATACTATAGCAGCACCGACATAATTTTTAATCTCAACTGATATTCAAATATATCACATGATAACGCTCACCTGATCGACCAAAGCCGAGTGCTTTTATTACCTATATAAAATGCAGACAAAAAAAAAAATATGTAAAACGAAAATGGAAAGCGAAATCACTACAAAAGAAAAAATAAAATTACTCAAACATGTGATTTATATATTTACATAATATTCATAATATTAAAACGCATACGAAGGAATACGATAATGAAATATCAGTTTCTAATACCATCACTCGCGATTGGTCGAGATGGAAAATTCGCTGTTATGTTCGATTTTGCTTAACAAACATCCAATATTTCTGTATTTTAATGACAAATTATTCAAATTAAAAAAATCTAGTTATTTTATTTTATTTTTTTGTCTATCATGAACGTTCAATATTATTCAATTTTAGTAAATTAAACTTTTGGAAAATTATTTTAACATTATTTATTCCTTGATCGGACCACGGTTGTATAAAATTAATCGAAATGAAAACAATTATTAAGTCCGTTTTCAAGAGTTGTTTAATATGAAAATTGTGATGATATGTTTAATAATCCAGCAATTGAGGCAGTTATTGATTTTCGATGGAAAAAGACCAAAAATTATATTTTCATGATTTCTTTGTTTCGGAATTTATTTTGGATATATAAGTTGGGAATATATAAACAAAAATATTGATAGTATAGAGCTACATAATTATTTGATAACGTCAATTGGCATAGGGATGGTAACGGTCGGTTAAAGGCCTTTGACCGACCGACCGGTTAACTAATCGATTTTAACCAACCGGTTGACCGACCGTTTAACAATAATTTTTTACTTTTAAATGTTCTAACTGTATATATAGGCATTATCGCGAAATTTTTAATATTTTAAATATTTTATTTAATTTTTATAAATACATTTTTTCTTTTAAAATAATAATTTATTTCATTAAATCTATATAATGTTTTGTGAAATCCAACTATATAAACATAAACATGCTCTTACAGTATCTCCAGATAAACGATTTCGCGATTTACATAAAACATGACCAGCAATTGAAAAAAGTTGTTCATATGGAACCGAACTTGCTTGATTACATAAATATTCAAATGCAAGTTTTGACAAATTAGTATATTGAGTAGAATGAGTTTTCTACCAATCCAATGGTTTTACATCTTTTTCAGCTTCAGCAGAAATCCAAAATTTATCAACTTCATCATCCACGTTTGTAATGATAGGATTTGCTCCTTTTAACTTCTTTAAAAAGCTTGAAACTTTTTTTGTTGATATAATAAGAACTCCTTGTTGTTGTTGTTGCTCTAATAGATTTCTAATTGGTATTGGTATTTCATAATCTGTCATTTCTGAAAAACAATATTTTTTATATCTAGGATCTAAAAAGGCTGCGATATGAGAAGTTTCTTCTAATTTATTATAATAATTATTAAATTTTACTAATATTGCCTTAACTACATCATTTAATAAATAATCGTTACCATAATCAATTTCTAAATCTTTTTAATTGCTAATAAATTTAATCTTGAATGTGCAACAGTAGGATATTTTTGTGATGAAATTTCAATCGTTGCTTCATTAAATTGATATAAAATTGGTCTAAATCTTTAAACAATTCCTATATTCATTTGGAAAAATATCTTTTAATTTAGGATTTTTAACTAATAACATTTGTATATTTTCTTTCAAATTACAAGCACAATTAACCATTTTAAAAGTTGAATTCCACCTTATTTTACAATCCATAATCAGATGAAAAAATTGTTTATTATCTTCAAGTAATTTAGTTGATTTTTAAATTGATTTTATTAATTTTCTTAAATTTTTAATATGAGTTAATACAGTTTTCAACCCAGCATTTACAATAATATTAAAGACATGAGCTACACATCTAACATAAATAAAATTATTTGATATTTTTGATTTTAAAATATTTGCACTATGAATCATATTACTACCATTATCAGTTGTTATTCCTAAAGTTTTAGTTTCTAATCCAAATTCTACAAGCATATTATAAATTTTATCAGCAATTTCATCACCTGAATATTGATCTTTGAATCTAAATATATCTAAAGTAAAATGTTTTAAAATCTAATTTTCGTCGATAAAATGTATTGTAATACCAAAAAAACTTCAAATTTTAAAGATGACCAAATGTCTGTAGTTAATGCTTTTTCTAGAAAATTTTTTATAAAATTTGTAACTAACTCTCTCTTTTTTTCAAATTGCTTCATTATAGAATTTTTATCTTAGTATTTGATAATGTGGATTAACTATTGATACCATTTTATTAAATACTTCATCTTCTACTATTTTAAATGCTTACATATCTAAAATTACCCATTTTAATTATTACTTGTGTTTTTTTGACTTGAATCTCTTGTAAATATTATTTAATATAATTATTTAATATTATTTACTTTTCTTTTTAAATAACAATCTATGACTTTTCAAATATGCCTAAATAGAATTAGTTTTTGTTTTATTATCAAAAATTTTAACGCAATTTGGATATTTTCTTATTATTTTACCTACATAATTCCATACATTAGCTTTTATTAATTTTTCTTGAAAGTGTGATAAAGGTGAATTAATTATTTGCTCATTTTATTTATTATTAATTTCTTCATCAACATTGTTTATTTCATCATTAATAATAACTTCTTCTTCATATATACTGCTTTCATAAGTTTTAGAAATAGTTTCTTCATTACTTTCCATTGAAGAATCAGACATATTTATTTATTAAAATGAAAAGAGAGAAAATTACAAAAGAAAGAAAAGAAGAAAAGAAAAAGTAAAATAAGTAAGTGAATGAATTAAGGTATAAATTTTTTAATATATATATATATATATATATATATATTTATATTTAATTTTTTTTTACTTAAAATCATTTTCAAAAAAAATGAATGACTATTTATAAAAAATAAAACTGCTAAAATTTTAATTATTTTAATTAATAATTCTTTTTATTTCTTTACATATAAAAATTCATTTATTAATTTTTTTACATACATTAATTATGAGCTTTTCAAAAATTAACAATCAAAATTTTAGTTGTATTATATGCATTTAATAATTTGTTATTATTCAAAATTTTATTTAGAATTTAGTTTGACAATTTGAAATTAATTATAAGATTAAAATAAATTACTATTATTCTTAATATAGTATTGTATTTTAAAAAGTTTTTTTGTTTCTTAATGTGTAAAAAAATTATTTTAATATTATTTAAATGCAAAAAATTATTATAGAGCTATATTATTAATATAAGTTCTAAACTTAATTAGTTCTGTATAATATGGTTATTTGCATAACTATACGGATTTACCATATTTTACAAATTCGTGATCTTTGCATATTTAATTAAAATTTTAGTTGCATTGCTATTTTCATAAAAAATAAATATAAATTATTATTCTAAAATGTAATACTAATTTATTTTTAGTTAAAATTAATTCAAATGGTAAATAATATCATGCTAAGATAAGCAAATTTTTAATTTTAATATTTATCAATATTAAACACTTTTGATGATATAATTAAAATTGATCAACAGGTTAGATATTAATATTTAATTTATATTTTGTGATAAGTATTTTTATAATAAATTTTACTGTACCAAATTTCACAGAAAATATAGTTCTTTTAATCTAATAAAATTATTTAAAAATATTTTTTTTTATAAAAATCAGTTGATCAAAATAGTTGGTCAAAATCAGTTAGTCAAAATCGATCAGTCAACCAAATGGTCAGAATCAGTCAAAGTCAGTCAGTTAACTAGTCAGTTAAAATTCTTTGACTAATTAATATCAATCATAGTCATAACCAGTCATGATTATGACCATTAGCATCCTTGATTTGGCAATTCATCTATTAATTACTGAAGTAATACAAATGCGTTATTATAAATATAAAAGATATTTTTATTTCATACTAAATAATTTTGATTTATTTTAGTTATAATACCAGTAATAATGATTATAGTAATACATTTTAACATATTTTATTTTTCCAATAACTCTAAAAGTATTAAAAAAGAAATAATAAAATATTTTTCTCAATGTTAATAATTTGAATTGAAACTGTAAGTATTTAATAACTTTTACTAAAGATATTTAACATTTAATTAAATCTTTTTCTTAAATTATAAATTTTATATTTTTATCTAATATCAAGTAAGTACAAAAGAAAAAGGTTATAAAAAATTAAATACTTTTCATTATTAAAATTCTATAAATAATTATGTATATTTTTACTTCACAAAAATTGCTATATATATTTATTATATTATCATAATTATTTACATTGATTATAATTTTTGCATTTGCATATATAATATATGAATATTTTTTAATAATTTTTTGTATTATTTAATTTAGATTAACTTTTCTATTTAATTATATATAGATTTTTATTACTTAAAAATCTAAATATATTAATTAGTATCAAAACTAAGAATACTATAATTAGAGGATATGTCATCCATAAATAACTTAATGAAAGAATACTTAAAATTAACCTCAAATCAAATTTTAATCTACATATTAATGATAATTCTTTAGTAAATAAAAAATAGGCTTTTTGGCACATTTCAACTAAATAATCCTAGAAGGTTGCTTTGGATATCAAAAATTTTTATATAGCATAATCTTAATGTAAATATATTTATAACCTTAAGGAAATAATTTGTCTTCTTGAATATTATTCTCTTTGTAAACATTTGTTTTCTATATAAAAAATAAATTTTTACTTGGTACAAATAAGTCCAAAACCTATTTGACTTTTAATCTGAGTAAAAAAAAATTTCGCTTATAATTCTTAAGTTTTGAATTGCAAGTTGTCTCCCAATTCACATACAATAATAGTAGTACTTGCTAAAAGAAAAAATATAGTAGGAATATGAGCAAGCCCTTTAGGGTGAAGCAAATATGAATGCTATATTTTTTTGACCCATATGCTACCTTATTTTAGTATGATAATATATGAGACAAATATGAATGTAAAAGTTGCAGAGTACTGAAGATGCAGAAAATGTATACAAAATATAAGAACAAATAATATTTACAGAGTTGCAGAATACTGAAGGTGCAAAATATATACATAAAATATGAGAACAAAAATGTTTATAGAGTTGTAGAGCGAAACAGAGTATGTATCTAAAACATGAAAAAATCAAGTGATATGAATGCATACCTATTGGATTTTAGGATTAACCCCAGAATATTCTTATCACTATCTTCAGATTATTCACCAAACAAATCTAATTCCAGATCATCCTCAAACTATCAAAACAATTTCCATCATTAGCCTGATTTTTTGCAAGCTTCTGATATTGATAAAATGCTCTAGAACAATACTTATCTGAATGTTTCTTACAAACACTATATCCAGAAGAAGTTATTTTATTGCATCCAGATTGTATACATAAATATTGTTTAAGTGAATTCTGATAGACTTTATATCCTTTTGAATTATAGCATCTCTGATTGCACTCTTTTTCAGTCCTAAGAATATATGAATAATAATAAAAATTCTAGGGTGTCACCTTTTTTGTGCCTCCTATAATTTCTTTTTAAATAAATATCTAATACTAATTATCTGAATAAAATAATTTTTATTTTAAACTTTTTTCTAATACTATATAATCTTAAGAAAAAAATAAGCGAATTACTCAGTAGTATTACTGGTGTATTAGGACAATTATTCAGAAACTTTTTGCCAAGTTAAGGTGAACTATCACCTATATCACCTGAATTACCTAAACTTTCTGAGCCATCAGAAGAAGAACCAGAGGTAGAATCAGATGAAAAAAATGACTATAAGATCACTTCAGTATACCAAAATACTAATACAAGATGGTATTAAACAATTTGAAGGTTCCTATTTAGAGAAAGAAAAGTAAGAATGTCAAGTTCTATAATGGGAGTACATAATGAATTAGTTCTGAAAATAACTTTCATAATTTATTCTGTAACTAGTTTTTAATCAAAACTAATCCAAATAAAACACTTCAGAAAGCCCATAAATGATATAATGAAGAAGCCAATGCAATTGCATAAAGGAGTAGAGGATAGATTGATTTACAAAAAACTGAAACACATGCAATAGCAAGTTTGCGTTTCTTTTAAGATGTTATTTTAACTCCTAGAAAAGTAAAAGATTTAATACAAGAAGAAGATTATTGGATTAATTTGGCCTATATGAGAGGTCTAATATAGACTGAGCCATATGAAGGAATCACAACTGAATTAGACTTTAATGAATTTTATCTGAATATTTTAATTTATAATAATGCAAGCTGATCAGTAAATACAGAAGAATTTAAAATAATCACGCATAATCTTAATTATTATAATCTAGAATATAGTATTTATTGAGCTTTTATAAAAGGTCAGCTAACGAATTAAAAATGTATAAGAGGATTTCATTTTAATCCTGCAGAATATTATACTCACTATGACTTGAAATTAGTGATGAAACTAGATCTTTACATAGAATTATCCTATAAAAGTCCAAATGCTCTAATATATGAACAAGCATATCTCATGAGCGGATATAATAGTATCTATCAATAAGTAAATTATCTTATATAGATCAAGCAAGAAGGTGAACAGGCAAGTAAAGTTGCTAAGCATATGCTAGTTTTACTTTAGGAATAATTATACTCAGATAGATGAAGACCAGATCCTCATTGACGTATGGTATCTTTTATTATAGCGAAGGAGCGCAGAATTATATCAGGAAAAATTAAAGCATTAAGAGATCGTGTAAAGCGTATTCACACAGATGAATTTATTATTTCAGATAAAAATACAAAACAGCTGATAAAAAGATATGAAGAAGTCAGTAAGAGTGATCTAAAAATAGTAAAATCAGGCATCGTAATAATAAAACATGTGATAAATCTAAAGTGAATCGATTTTGATAAAATAATTTCTTCACTAATTAAGAAGTCAGAAAAAAACTCTCATCTGTTATATATCTTTACCAAATAAGATTCTTGATAGAATTTTTTAACATTATAGAAAGGATAGGAATAAGAAAATGTATCAACTTTTATTTGTTAATAAGCAATGGTATTATATTGCTAGAAGACTAATATGGCAAAGAATATCTCTAACAGCTATTTCTGAGATCAAGTTTACTAAAGCATTAAGCAAAAATATGAAGCCAGATGCATGTGTACAAGTGTTAGGTCTAAAATTTATTGGAGAAATAAATATAGAGCCAGAAGTATACATTTCTGAAATGTGCAAGATATATTCAAATTTGTAACAGCTAAGTTTTAAAAATAGTAGATTATATATACTTAGCAATAAAAATCTAAAAGCACTTCTAGTCAAGTATCCCAATTTAAAAACACTTATAATAAGAGACTTCAGACGCTTATACTCAGAAAATATTTTTAAAAATTCTAAAACTAACTACTAAATTGGGAGTGATAGAAATTAAGGATTGTTTGCTAATTAGAGATGATATAAAAAGCAATTTCTAAAACTTATACCTAAAATAAAACTCATATTTGAGAGGAATAGCTAGACTAGATAGTATTTATCTTGAAAATTTTATTTGAGAAATTTTTTTCCTAGATATGAAAAAATGCCTTCTAAAAAGTATTGTATATATTATTTAGAAAAAGAAAAGGTATATACTATTTAAGAGATCAAAGAGAACATTATAGAATTAGATTACAACATAACTAAAATACATCAAAATCTTAAAAGAATTAG